GACCATCTGCCCTAGAACAGATCTATCGTGCATCCAAAGCTATTAAATATTTCAAATTTACGCAAAGAAATCACTACCCATCGTAGTAGAAGACTCAATATACATAAATAGAGTACTTGGAGGTTATGTTATTTTTTTATTTATCAAGACCCCTCAGACAGCTGCCCATCCATCCCTTCGAGTGTGAAACCCGAAGGTGAACGATCATCGTTGGCAGGCCGAACCTCCGCAATGGGAAGCTCGAGGCCGCCAGCCTCACGCTCAGAATGAGCAGCCACGTCTCATCCTCGTTCACTTTCTGAGGATTGTTTTTTGATGGTTTGGATGAAAAAAGTTCGATGGGCCTATCGGGAATCAGAATTTGAAAATTAAACATAGGATGCGTTGAATTTCAAAACGCATATAAAACGCTATAAATTGCATTTTTTTTATGAATTCAAGTTTGGACCCCACTGGAAGTTGTTCTCAAGAAAAGAAAAAGTTGAAAACTTAACGTTAACAATGCGAGGAAAGGTATATTTTAGATTTACACAAAAATATTGTGCAGTTGACACGAATATTAAAATTTCGTGGGATTTACTCATATAGCATCCTCGCTGCTAAGTATGGAGCTATAAGCTGCTATCCCCCTGCTAAGCCACTACAGCTAGGAGTGGAAATAAAGAAATATTTGAGCATGAATAATACAGTTGTAGGTTAATAATCAATGTTTTTGTTACATCAATCGATATTTTTTGAACAGATTTTGAGCAGCTCATGTACGCATATCCGAGTATCCTCTTAGACATTCTATTAGTAAAAAAAAAATAAATAAATAATAGTGGGATAGAAAAACCAGTTAATTTAGAGGATATAACTTCTACTTTTGTCTAGTACAATATATAAAACGAATAATGTGAAGGTAAACCTGTTGTCGCTATATTAAAAACTTACACTTGACAAATAATATTATACACGTCAAATACTCATGTCATTATATTACTTTAATTTTGATATCAGATTCATGATGACTATACGCTGGGAGTGTTTTTATTTTTAAAACTGTCATATTAATTTGAAATGTATTTGTTTTTTGAAACGTTGATAACGAGTAGATTTCAATAACTAGCCAAATCCATTCTTATTGAATTTAAACAATGCAGAATAACTTTTACTCAACGATATTTCTCTGCTTCTCAAGTGTCAAAACATCATGATATATTTTGCGCCATTGTATCAACTAGGAAAACATTCATTAGAATAAATTTTTGAAAAATATTTTAGCCACAGTTACTAATACGAAGCACGCAAAACGCATACGATTCTTTGGAAAGTTCCTTTTTTACATCTAAATCATTTTTTTAATTTTGAAATATTTTATCGTTGATATTTGACGATATTGAAGGTATTTCGAAAGTCCCAATGGTTTGAAAGCGTATGAGAAGAATCCAAGATTTTATCATACTTGTAAAAATGATTCATTTGAAAAAAAAAACTAAAGGGCTTGTTCATGTTTATTAAAGCTCTACTTTTGTTATCGTAAATGGCAAGTAGTACATATTCATCAACCAATCAATGGATAGAAAATATTTTTCACAAAGCTGTTTAGTAAGTAATAATTGAAATTCGTAAAAGATTTAAAAAAAAAGTTTTTTCAACAATCCACCATAGAATAACGTTTTATGAAAAATAAAAACTTGTAAAACGTTTTATGAATCATCAATTATTAGAAAAAACATAATTTTGTAGTGAAAAATTATTTAATAACCTTTTATTTAATAGATATTATTTAATAATCTTTTATTTGAAATTAACTACTTTTCTGCTCGTTGATTCTAAAATAAAAGAAAAAATTGCAAATGCATGGCCTCCTATTAAAATAAAAAATACCAATTTTACATCTTCTAAGTCTAAAGGTGATTCTTTGTTATCAATTGTATACCAATGAATCAAAGATGATTCAGAATTTTTTTGTGTGTATCCTATCTCATGCAGTCTTAACAAAAAATCATTCAATTTTGATTGCAAGAACCAATCTGGTCTCATTGGGTAAACCATAGTGCGCATATCCATCAGTGGCTTAGAGATGTGTATTAATTCTGACTCGCGAATGCCGTAATAAGTGATAACTAAAGTCCCAACGATGCAGATAACATTTTCTCGTTGCAACAGCCCTTCCATGCAAGCTTTTATATCGAGGTAGTGTTTGAAACTTCGTTGAGTTATTGCAGTCATTTGTGGCACAATTGGAGTAAATACGTAAATTGTCGCCTTTGGGTTATTGATAAAATCTTCTACGGTCTCGATAGATGATTTGAAATCGGCCACAGTATTGACAGCTCTAAATAAATTGACAAAATAAGCGCTAGAGTATGAAATTAACAGGATAGCAGTGCACAAGAGTATTCTTTCGGATGAATAGTAAGCCCGTTCGAATGCTGGTTTGTCCATGGAAGACGTGAATATTCGTATGTATTCGAAAAATGAGATGCTCCAGGATAACTTCAAAATGAATTTCGATACCATCAAAAACATTACAAAAGATGTACCAATGTTTAGGAAAATGTTTAAATCAACCGCAGCGATGAATTTTTTGAAAATACTTAGCTTGGTTTTCCGCGACATTGCGTATACGTAGGTACTTGATGAAAATCCTGATTGCATTTTCCAATAATCGTCGAGAAGTCCTACTCGAGCACTCATATCAATTTTTCCGTCCATGAGGTCTTGAAGTATACCTTGCGGTCTTTGATCGTCATCTAATGGAGGCGCTGATTCGTACATTATCAGATTGTAATTTGCTTTGAAATGCTTCATGAATTGAATTATTGGTCCATGTGATTTCATAGGCAATTTTTCCAAATTACCATTAACTTTTTTTTTAATTTGGGACACATTGGCAAAATCGGCTCCTAACGCCATCTCATAATTAGACAAATCGACCAACTTATCAAAATAGCACATTTTAACAAGTTTATTATCTAAAAAAGCAAAATCAATATGATCCAAACATCTATGAAATTTGAATTCTACAATTGATAAAATCAAACCTTCAATTTCCCTCAATTCAGTGATGTCACGAGAAAGTAATATCCGATTATTGTATTGGCTTGTAGAATCAGCGTCGATTTTCCAAAACGATGTTGCAATAGAGGAAAATGGATTTAACGTGTAAAGCATATAACGATGATTGGTTGTTACACATAGGTAAAAAATATTAACTATATCCAAATTCCATGCTAAATTTAATAATGAAGTTGCCAAGAATAAACAGGAGGGTGCAGGAATTTTTGTGACGACCAAAAAAGATGCCTGGTTGTTCCAAAAAATAGAGTTTCGAAAAGTGGTGAGGAATTCAATGAAACAAAGATTCGAGGTCTCTTCAGTGATGACGATACGCGCGGGATAAGTTTTTCTTACTAGAACTGTCTCATTGATTTTAACTATATTTTTCAAACGCCGATAATTAACCGAAAGTAGAACATTTTTAAATCCAGTCATATCAAAAATAAATAACGATGAATAACTGCTACTCAAATCCGATATTTCACTGCTACTCCAGTTGCCAAACATCATGATATATTTTTCGTTTGGGTATTCGTTAAAAAAACACTTATCAAGAATTAATTTCTGAAAAATAATTTTGTTACAACGAGTTATTATGTATCACGCTAAATACATACCATTCTTGTTGCAAATTCCCTATCTAAATTTGACTTATTATTTTTGATATCGAATGAAAAAAAAGGCACTTGAAAAGTCGCGATTGTTTGAAAGTATAGGATAACAATCCAAAGTTTCATGATACTTCTGAAAATAATTGTCGAAAATATTGCTTATAACTTCATTTTCTTAGGGATAAAAAAAATAATATAATGTAGAAATAGTTGGTAGTTTATTAAATGAATCGAACTTTTTCGAACATACGTTGAACTGTTCTCGTCCATTACTTCTCATTTTTTAATAATACAGTTGTGACGAATAAAAGGAAATAGTTTGTTTATTGATTTTTAACGATTATTAAAAATTTATCTCAAAGTTGTATCGGAAATCATCACATTAGATAACATAAATTATTCAAGGTAACCTTTATTTTTTTATTTAACAAGACCACTCAGACAGCTGCCCATCCATCCCTTCGAGTATGAAACCCGAAGGTGAACGATCATCGTTGGCAGGCCAAGCCTCCGCAATGGGAAGCTCGAAGCCGCCAGCCTCACGCTCAGAATGAGCAGCCACGTCTCATCCTCGTGGCTGCATCGACTCCTACTTTGGGTAGAGAGTCTGTGAAGATATACTACAGAAATGATCCTGTGAAGTATGATCTTAACTCGACACTACATGCTCTGCGCTGTATATACTTTTTTTTTGATTAGCCACTTGTGGTTTCGTCGAAATTCCATCGAAGCCATCTAGTAGAGAAGTTAATACTACGGAGATGGTCGAGATCTAGTGCGCATGCCTAAATTGATTATAATTTCCTCATTATCGGCATTGAAAGAGTAACGAAATTTGAATTGGTCGATGTTTAAGCATTGTATTCCTTTTTTTCTTTTATGCAACTGAACTTCTATGTCAATTCTGATTGAAAGGAACTAAAAGAATTGTTTTTTTTTTGCAAGTAGGTAATCAATAAAACCGTGCATAAAACTAAAATTTCGCTAAACATGAACAGACAGTTTCTATTTGCTGACTTTATAATTTATGAATCTAACATTTTCCACCGATTTCGCTACCAATTACCGATTTAGTTCAATACACGCAAATAGTATATACACAACATACATAAGTAACTTTCCCCGAAAGGGAAAGATCATACCAGTAGCACCCACGCACCGAGCTCGTGCGATAAAGCAGTTTCTCCCATGTAAGCACAGAAAAAAGTTAACATCTCCTTCCTCCCATAAAGAGCTATTTCCAAGCCGCGCCTATATAAACTCGCTGGCTGTCTGTCAGATCTTGGATCTCGTTGCCTGCAGTTAAAGTTAGCGCAGTAGCGAGTAGTGTATAGTGAACCGTGTGCGCGCGCATTCCTAATAATAAGCATACGCGGCTACATAAATATACATACACGCGCAAAAGTCCCACACCAGGCACGTACTACACTATGAGCAATATTAACGAGTATTATGAGGAGCACTCGGATAGCACGGCGTTAGTTTCGTGCATACCAGCCACGGGCAAGATGTCAAAGGCCAAGAAAGTGCTGGACGAGGCCCGGGAGCTCAAGAATCCCGAGCTCGAGCTGGCCGACAAAAACATCGCCAGCTTCGAGGAGCTACCTGGTCTCGGTGAGTCAAGTGACTTTGGCGTTTTGTCCTTTTTTGGAAGCTTGGATCGCTTTCGCTTTTTTATTTCCTTGCCAGACTGGTCTTCGCGCATACGTCACTGCGTGTGTGCGAGGGGAGCGTATTATATATATATATATCGCTGTGTGGGTGTGTACACATGTATACGAGGCGGCGGTGTTTATTATTTTAACGTTCGACCAGCTGATTCTGTATAAAGTGATGTTTTTTATTATATTTTTGATGAATGAATTTTATTTTCAGTTAACATGTCGTACATAACGAGGATCTCTCTCAGTCATAACAAAATTAAAGGTAAATTTAAGAACAATGTGCAAAAACGATTTGCAGATACGAATTCGGTAAACTATTGATACATTTTTTTTCAAGCTGTACCCCCTGGTCTGGCGAATCTAGTCAATTTGGAAATACTTAATTTGTTTAATAATCATATAACCGAATTGCCCGTATCCATTTCACAAATGCCAAAGTTGAGGATTTTGAATCTCGGGTAAGTTGTCATTAACAAAATTTTAACGAACAAAAAGATGCGAAATAATTTTAATAAAATCGTTTACTACTGTGTAATAGTATGAATAGACTGAACGCACTTCCAAGAGGCTTCGGAGCTTTTCCGGTGCTCGAAGTTTTAGATCTGACTTACAACAATCTCAGCGAAAAGAATCTGCCCGGCAACTTTTTCATGATGGGTAAGAAACATTTTTATTGAGAATTAAAACTGAAAAGTTTTTCATTCGATATCGAGTAATCTGATTTTTTATTTCGACAGAAACGTTACGCGCGCTTTATTTGGCTGATAACGACTTCGAATTTTTGCCACCAGAGATATCGATGTTGAAAAATTTGCAAATCGTAAGTTCCTATATAAATTAATTTTCGAACGAATATAATTCCGAGCCAATTACTAACAAATGAACAATTTTAACAGCTGGTATTGAGAGAAAATGATTTGGTGGAACTGCCCAAAGAAATCGGTGAGTTAACTCGTCTGCGAGAACTTCATATACAAGGAAATCGGCTGACAGTATTACCGCCAGAAATCGGTAATTTAGATCTTCTCAGCAACAAAGCCGTCTTCCGCATGGAATTCAATCCGTGGGTCACGCCGATCGCCGATCAACTCCAAGTTGGCATTTCTCACGTTCTGGATTATATACGCTCGGAAACTTATAAATTGTTCGTATTCGCATTGATAACATGAGTTTAAAGTTTAATTTTTGAGATGAGATTGATGTTAATGATTCTTTTACAGCGTTTATCAGCGGCATCAAGCTACAAAAGGCATACCACCACCGTCCGAGAACGACAAGAGTAAGAAAATCTCAAGAGCTCGTTCTTAAATAACAAATTTTACTGCCATTGGCTAACAAGCTTATAACGACGTACAAAAAGATAACATAATACCAAGTACAAGCGCAGCATTTATCGAGAATTCGAAGATTGATCGATGCATAAATTATATATTTATTGATGAAATTAAAAAAAGAAGTAGATCTGATACCATTGATTGTACATGTATGCACTGTATGATCGATTACAAACGTGTGCCTTGAAAGTATTTTACATATATATTTATTTTATAGAGTTGTAATACAGAATTTTAATAATTCCGTAATTTATAGAGATCTGTTTTCCACTGAATTTAGTTTTATTTATCAAATGTGCCTAAATGTAGCAGTAGAAGACTGAGACTTCATGAATTTTTAAAATGTAGAAACGAGTATGAAGACTCCATCCAAATAAATTAACCATTTAATTTATGTTTTAAAAAATGATTTTTATTATTGTTACTCCTGAATTTATTATTACTGAATCAATGTGTTCAACAAATCGACAATTTTATTTTATTTACAGGTAAAATAATAATCGAAAATCATGAAATGTAAAATCACATTGTATACATTTTGATCTAAAATGGTTTCAACCGTTGTTGAACAATATACAATTTTTTATCAAACTAACTTCAGTCTAACAAGTTTTTACAAAAACTTGATACAGCTGAATTTAGAAATTCAAGCTGTATTTACTTTTTTCAAAATCTTCACAGTAAATTCGATGAATTTACAATAGAAATTCGGTGTAGATTACAGCTGTAGAGGTTTTAATTGAGTTCGTCAATAGTCATTTTATTAATAATTAAATATACAAGTATCACATTCTTCTTAAGATTCTAATAATTACTGAGATCGTAAATGTCATACTTTATATAGTAAAATAAAATTGATTTTTAAATATGAATTGCATATGATATAAATATTTTTATTTGCTTTTAAAAGCAGTCTAGTTTTTGTAAAAGTCTTCAAAACTATTAGCTATACTTATAATAGAACTAATCAATTTTACTATAGTACAGTTTCATATCACCATGTTAATTACATGTGAAAATGCATTTGTGGTGGCAGTTGTTGATGCATTTGCATTGGCATCTGTAGTGGTATTTGCTGTTGTTGCATCGGTGGTTGATGTTGTTGTGGTATTTGCTGATTAGGCAATAGCCAATTACTATCATCCACAATTGGTGGCACAGGTGGCGGTAACTGCGGTAACATTGGTATTTGGTTAACTCCACGCCTTCCTAGTTCAACATCATAGTTAAAAGTATGGCCGGTTGAATATATTATTCCATCATTTCGCACAAGGGATACTGGCACAGCAGTACCATTATCCACCCAAGACCAATTTCCTTGAAAAGCTGTAACATCTGGCACAACACACACCATACTTTGCTCTGTTCGATACCATGTTTCAGCTTCAAGATCTCCAAACCAAACCTACAATCAATTTATCAAATTATTGTAGTAGAGAGTAATTTTTCAATTTAAAATTTTACTTTATAATTTCAGCTTTTTGAATGTACATACATGTAAATTAGGTGCAAAATCATCTCCTTTAATTTCTAGCATTGCAACTTGATCCTGACCCATTGGATTAAGATACTGCACAGTTGGTACTGGAGTAACTGGAGCTTTCACTGGACCCATTCCTTCATAAAATTTATATTCTGCACGCTCTGTACTAATGATTGTCCAGCAAGCACCATCATTTATAAGATCTTTGTTTGGTTCTTTGGGAGAAGCTGTTGCATTGAAAGGCACTATTTTTTCTTGTGAAAGACAAAGGTACAAACGATCAGTATCTTTCAGGAATAAAGCACATTTGTGTAATTGTGAAACTGGATCATCAGCATCAAGGCTTGCCATTGATTTATCTACCTGTTAAAACATATAATATTCATTTTAGAGGTGTTAAAATTTAAATCTATTTTATTGAAGAAATAGTTTGTAAACCTTGCGTATTATTAATCTGGGTAGTGCCATTCCTGTGTCCTTACAAACTAATTTCACTGTATTATTATAATGAATATATCCATCTCTTGGTTCAAAATCTTCATTTTCACTTTCCTCATCGTCCAATAGATATATTGTAAAGGTACTCCATTGAGTCGAACTAGCATGAAAATGATCACCTTCAACATGTAGGTATCGTGTGCTTACTGTCTGTGAACGCAATCTATTGAATAGAGCTACAGAAGTTCCACTAGCTATACATAATTCTGTGTTTTTAAGAGATTGCTTTTTTTTAGAAGGCTTAGATATAACTTTGATTCTGTTACTGTGGAAGACACCTATATCATGACCATTTCCATGGAACATTTTAATGGAGAGCATGAAATTTTTTCGTTTATCAGAATCTGATATAAAAAGAGTTTTAGCCGCACAGTATTGCTCTTCATTATTTAAATCTAGTTGCTGGACGTCTTGATCCAAATTGCCAATAATTCCAATAAAGGCACATATTTGTACTGCTTGTTCAGATTCTCCTTCTCGCCGCATTTGTTCTTGTCTCATCACCCACGAATCTCCTCTGTAATTTAATTATTTTGCATTGTTATAAATGAACGACAAAATAAGTAAATTTTAAAGTTAACAGTGCTACCTTAAATAAACACATGGTGGTGGACAGAAAAATCTCTTCTCCGTGCCGTATGATTTTTGTGCTACCTTGGCATGAAAAATAACAACAACCATGTCAGTTTTACCGCCGGTTCTCTTGCATTCTGAGAGGTAGTGACGCATGGCCTCTTGCGTGAGTCGAGGACTCGACAAGTCCACTTCCATTTTGAATGAGCACCAATTTTTGGCATGCTACTTCAATGATAAACACAATGCAGGCTCGTTCAGTCACGTGTCATAGCTACCTGTGGGTGAAAAGTCAAAGTTTTAACTGTCAAAATAGATTCATCAGTGAGAGTCGATGCTTGTAAATATTATGCGGCTTGAGGCGACTCGATAAGCTCATTATCATAATATTATGAACTCAACTAGTCGTTGTGAAACAGACAGTTCTGTTTATTATCTGACTATATCTGTACTGCGCATGCGCAAACTCAGCGCCCCGCCACGCCACGATCAAAATTAAAAATAGCTTATAAATTGCTTATAATAAGGCCCATAAAATAGTCTATAAAAAGTTCCGTTTTCCAAAATTTCTCTTCAGTTGATTTTGGGATTTCTTCGAGAGCAGGTAAGCTCTTTTTTTTTTTGGTTTTAATCGGATAGTTATGAATGTCGGTAATTTTAAATAGTTGTCACGTTTTTGATTTTTTTCCCCAAACGCATACGTGAATATTTTCGAGGATTTCCCATAAGAATCCCACTTAGAATTTCTATAATTTTCTACCAGTTGTTTTATAGAAATTTTTCTTTAATCCTCGACGAAAATTTTTCTCATGAGAAAGTTTTATGAAGTATAAATAAGCCTTAAAAGTGTTTGAAATTTTTTATACACTTAATCAATGATTTCTAAGCGTTAATAAAAGTATTTAAAAATCTATAAAATCTCGCGAAGACTCGATTTTTTAGAAAAAGGGATAAGTTTTTTTCTCATTTATTTCTATATTGTCCATATGGTTTCCCGTATAGTTTTTTCTCAATGACTTTTAACGAGCTTTAATACCGATCAAAAAAAGAATTTAAAACTATTTAAAACGTTTATTAACGCTTTATAATTCTTAATAACTTTTCCAAATAATTCTAGTCACTTGTACATCTTTTTTAAATTAATTAAGTGATTGCCGTACCTGCGTGAATAATTCAAAAATCAATTTTCGTCAGGTTTCACATAAATTTTTAAAATTTATTTTTATTAATTACAATTCTTATAAAGTTTTATTAATTCTTAAAAATCATTGTACGAAATCTGAACATTTATGATAATTTTGAAGCCTTATTCAGACTTTTAAAGAATTGTTAAGAGTATTTAAGAATTAGTGTGCAGATGAATTTCCGTAGGAGATAGCATACAAAATTGTTAATCTTGAACAAGCTTACAAAATGGCAATAACGCTATTTAGTTAGTAGTCAACAACCCACCTGACCGCACTCGTCGCATGTAAACAAACGCACGTTTCTAACCTTCGAGAATTCCCGAAAGGACGTTGACTCTCGCGAGAAACTTGTACTTTGCGCAAGTTCACCGATCTTCTAGTCACTGATTGTGCCTTTGAAATTTTTAAATCTTAATCGCTCCGAAATGAGACAAAGAGGGTAAAAAAAAGTACAAACCAACAGGTAGTAGATAGTATAAAACGCGATGCACTTCAGGCGTCGTAGTATATAGACAGGCAACTGTTGGCGCGATGATATAGCGCAGCATCTCGTGTGTGTGTAGTGTACGTATAGGAGCATCGGCTGCAGCTGCCGTCACTGCAGCGCCGCATTATTATTATCATTATTAGCATTCGGGTTTCGTCGCCGCCTCTGCTTGTGTGCCAGATGGCGTTTGCCATTGTATATCGTATATCGTGATACAATTCATGGGGGTATCGTCGTTACACTGCGTTATTCAACTGCCGGGTTGTTTACGCGTCTTAGTACTTTGATAGATAGCTCGAGTGGTTTCAGATGCCAGAGCTATAAAGACAATTAACCAGGACTCAATTTTAGCGCTCCTTTGAAAATTTCAAAAATGCCTCAATTTTTGAATATTCGTCTCGCAGCATATCTCAACGAGATTTGATGAATTCAGCCTACTGGTCCTTTTTGCCTCTTGTTTGCTGTGTTCATTTGGCGTGTGTGCGCTACCGGCGAGCAGAATATAAAATAGTCGAGTCCCTTGCAAAGTACCGTAAAACAACATGGAGTCGCGAACGCCTGAATTTTTATGTACACCATCGCAATAAATTGTGTGAATTACGATAGACATATCGAACTTTCGGATTTTAAGTGGTCTATTTATAATCGTAACGTTGAGAAGTTATAAGAAATTGAAGTCGTAAAAAAAGTAAAGTAGTCGAAAGCTGTGTCAAATTCCACGTACATCGAAACGAACGGTCATGTCAATGCTCCGGCTTGTAGTATCGTCTTTGATATTGCTCATCTCGTTGGTCGAGTGCCTCGTGGACCCGGAAAGAGTCGGCTTGTGCTGTGCGCTCTGCGACGACGACGGCTGCAGCGGCACGATCAGCGGCAGCGATGCGAATCAGCATCACCGGCGCAACTGTCGCGTGTACACGGAAAACGAGACCGACAGTTGCGACGTCGATCTGAGCCTTCGCCAGCATCATCACGGCTGGACTCGTTCGCAGCTGCTGCGCGTGGTCGAGCTCGTGCAGGCCGAGGTGCCGCGCGGGGCCGACGGAGCCGTCATGCTCACTTGGCTGGAGCCCGAAGATGACGGCTCCGAGGAGTCCGCTGCTGGTCTGGCCAAATCTAGATTCGTCGAGTTTTACGGCTGTCGAAGGATCGATCGAGTGATGAGCATGCGATACGACGATCTCGAGGACATGATGGGTTTTCTCGGCGAGCAAGAGAGCTCGGAGTACGCCATCAATCTGGCCGATTACGGCTGCGGTTCGAGCTCGTGCCAGCTCACGATCGTTCGGAGAGTTTAATCGATTTTTCTGCGCGTATTCGTTGTAAGAAAGAGTTTCGCACCTTTTTAGAAAGTATAAAAAATTCTCTCAAAAACTTGAGTCAAGAAAAAAACATCAATGAAGAGTATTCTTCTACTAACTTAGAGTGGATTCTGTATCGTGTTCTACCAAAAGTATGCCATGCCTAATATTTAAACTATTTAAAATACAAAAATGAAAAAAATATTTATTCGTAAACTAGGCTTAACTAATGTTTTAATCTTTTATGCTTGGCATTTTTCTCCTTTGATTTCTCAATGCTTTTCTTTTTAAATCAACGGTATAAGATTTTCTCAACTTGGTATTTGATTTCACAACTGTGCTGGCTCAATCAACACTAAATCTTGTTTACGTATTGATCAGAAATTATGTCGACAAGTACGACTTATTTGAAGAATACGCCCTATATTCTTTTGAGACTCGAAAATTCAATCACGGCTTATTTTTGGCGTATGGCATATTTTCAGTAGAACACCATAGCTTACCGATCGCGGTAACCAATCACTTGAATCAAAAATTTCAGCTTGTTAAGTATGTCTAGTAAATCCATGGAAATAAATAATTAAAAAAAGAGTTTTAATTCCTTCAATTAGCAATCGAATGGTTATTTTGTGTAAAAATTGTTTTTAAAAATGTTATACATTTATTGTATATAATTAAGGTCTACACCTCAAATTTTGCTCAAGTTTAATTTGTTTTATTTATCAAGGTTTACTTACATTTTTCATCTGACAATTTGTTCAATAAAAATAATTCAATTTCTTTCTTTCTTTTTTCCAGCCTCCTCGTATCAACAACTGCAAGCATTCTTCGGTGCTACCTTTGACTTTGAGCGATCATGTCGAAATTATTGCGAATCATCTCTCTGCTGCTCTTGGCGAACTTGGCGATCGTCAGCGGCGTGCTGTTCCGCGATCACGAGGATATGGTGCCGAATTTTTTCAAATTGACCGACAAATCACAGGTCAACCTGTGCTGTGCTCGCTGCATCAAAGAAAACGATTGTATCCTCGTGACCGAGAACGCAAAACACCGCTGTGGCGGCATTATTGATAAGAATTCGATCGGATTAGTGTGAGTTCGAACGAAAAAAAAAGAAAATACATATAGAAGCAAAATTAATGTCGATAATGAACGATTCTACTTTTCTCGCAGTGATTTTCCGGGCGGCAGAAAGATCACGACTCATCAAGAGCCGGACGACCGGTGGGTGCTATCCTGGGTCGATAACATGTCCGATCCCGTGCTGAGGAGCCGCCGCTTCAGCCTCAACAATTGCGCCTGGACGTCGAACGTCTTATTCGAGACGGACCGCAAGGTGGCCGATGTCGCGATAGATACCTTGTTCCATTCGAAACGGTACCCCGAAGTGTCGGTCTCGCTCGAGCCGGCCAGCTGCGGTAACGTCCAGTGCGACGTCACGATCTACAAGAGGAGCGCCAGGATTAGTATCAAGACGAAGGCGCTGACATTAGAGAAACTTCCAAGAGACGATCTGTAGGGTATTTTTTGTTTGCGTTGCATTGTTTCAAACGGAAGGAAGAATAAAGTATTATATTATGTATTTACAGATATTTATATTAATATGATGCTTCATTAATATCATATGCACAAAAAAGATTTACTATGTAGAAGTAAATTATTGACTAACTTATTGACCATCAACATACTTAATTGCGTTAAAATTAATTTTTACGATTTCAATAAAAAATTGTCATCCTCGTAAAGTCGTCTAATTTTGTACTTTTATATGTTGCGTGTAAAATCTCTGCCGAGTTTGCGCGTTACGACCCCGTGCGTAAAAAGCCAATCCCACCCCCGGGCGTGCGAATCGCCGCCGCATGTATAGCACGAGCTAAAAGCGACAGTAGTTGCGGTAGTGTCAGCACGAGTAGTAGTGGCGAAATCCAAAATAGTCCTATCCCATAAATGAGAACCGATTGTTTTTGAATCCTCGATCGCCCCCGGCGCGGTGCTCCATCGTGCGAAACATGTCCGCCGCGTTTCTGCATCTCGGCTTCGTGCTGCTGCTGCTGCTGCTTCCGATCGTCCGGACTCGAGCCAGCGGCTACCAGCGCGAGTACGTCAAGGTGGACTTCGAGGCGTACGACTTCGTCAACGCGACGGTCTGCTGCGCCGAGTGCGACTCCTCGGGCCAACAGTGCCACATGCTACCGGACGACCCCCTGGCGAGCCCCTGCCTCGTCGAGATCTCCCGGCCCGAAGACTATCGCATGTCCCGGGGTCCGCCTCGGGCCCAGGCCTTCCGTGCGCTGCCGCTCGATCACGATCTGCCGGATCGCTTCATGATCAGTTGGCTGGCTCAGACGCGCGGACCCGATCGCGCCGCCAAGCTCGGCATGCGCTTCTTCGACTTTTCCACCTGCCGACAGGACGGCCCGACGGAGCTCGTTCAGCAGGACGACGAGGAGTTCGCGCTGCTGTTCGTCAACGGGCTCGACGACGGGCCCGTGAGGTATCGCATCTCCCTCGAGGAGTATCGCAGATGCGGCCGCCCGAGATGTCACGCAACCGTCATCAAGGAGTTTCAGCCGCTGCCGGTCTGGAGGCATCGCAGCAGGAGCAGCTCGAAGAAGAGCAACGACGACTTGTAGTAATAATCGTAAAAACGACCACGAGATAACTCGACGTGTGTAATTTATACGACGAAGCAATAAAACCGAATTCTAGATTTAAAAAAAAGAAAGTATTGCCTTGATATTTAGTGAAAACCCTCGTACCAGCTCGTATAACACATTTCGCATTACGTATAGGTGTATGGAGGAGGAAGGAGGGGGATAGAGGGAGGAAAAGGAGGCTCGCTCCAGCCCAGACAGCTTGCACCACGTCAGTCTCGGCGTCGCCTTGGCAACGAGAGCACGTGCCAAATTACCATCTCCGCCCTCGCATCCTTCACACCTCGCACACTTTGTTTTCATAATAATGCCACCATTCGATCGTCGTTTTCTGCTCTGCGTCCTGCTGCTACTGCCACTGACAAATTGGAAGGTCACCGGCCGTCGTACGCACCTCGCGAGCGTCACCTTCGAGACGCACGACTTCGAGCGCGATCGGCTCTGCTGCGGCCGCTGCGACATCGGCAACTTGGACTGGCTGCACAAGCCCAACTGCCGAGTGACCCTCGACCGTTACCAGCCGTCCTGGCGCCGGGCCTGCAACGCCAGCGTCGATCTGCACTCGCGCCAGGCCAAGATCGCCCGAGCCTACCGTCTGGTGCCGTTCGCCCCGGACGACCGAGAGCGAGTCCGGCTCGTCTGGCTGGATCGCAACGCCAACGGCCTGACCTATCTCAAGATGAAGAGCCTGGACTTTGCCACGTGCTTCCACGTCGAGCCCGAGAGCTTCGTTTATCCGAGCGACGCCCACGCGCTCCAGCAGATGTACGCCATGTACGGGGACGACAAGCACGACGTGATCTTCGGCGATTGGGACGTTTGCGGCACGGAGAACTGCAAGCTCATGCTGGTGAAAAAGTAAGCCCTCGTCGAGTTCGTAGCGATACAAGCGTAGAACGATAGCCGAGCTTCGATCGTTTGAATTTCCCGCATCGTCGTGCTCGCGAGCATCGGGAGGTGTGGGAGGCGTCGGGAGCTCGGGCTATACGCGGGAGCCTACCGGGCGAGATCGCCTTCTGCGCATGGCCACCCACGCCAAGCGGGGGCGTAAAAATTGAAAAATACATTCGCGCTACAGCTGTCACTACTTCGCGTAATAATAAACGATGTGACGCGGAAATATCGGGCCGGGAGAGACATAGCACGAGTTACCACCGACGCGTTCGAATTTTTTAATTTTTTCGCCTTCGTCCATGGTTCGGCGTCTCGAACCGTCGACGTTCGCTAATCAACGTTGGTGCTCTTGTAGAGTAGTGACAGCCGCGTTCGAACAGAATGTCGAGCGCGCGTCTCGCCGCCAGTGAGAAAACCAGATCATTATTATTAGCGTTGGTGCTGATCGTCCTGGGACTCGCGATCGTCGGCTCGGCCAGAAAGTCCATCCTCAGGGTGGAGTTCGAGACGGCGGACTTCGACGCGGCCAACGTGACGTTCTGCTGCGCTCGCTGCAGCGACGCGCACCGTCGCAACTGTCACCTCGTGGCGGCGCACGGCTCCGAGTCCGGCTCCACGCCGTCGCGCCGGCCCTGCCGCGTCAATCTCAAGAGGATCCTGCGACAGCGTCATCATCGCCAGTCGGACAATCGTCTCTATCGGGCCATCCCGGTGAACAATCGGCCGAGCGACAAGCTGCTCTTCCTGCCGTGGATAATCAAGCCGCGGGACGACTCGGGGCCCTCGATCACGGGCCTGCAGTTCGTCGATTTTCCGCTCTGCCTCGCCCAGGAGCATCCGCGACGCGTCCAGCTGAACGAGGAGTTCGGCCTCGAGTGGATGCGCAAGCTCTACAGCTCGACGGAGAAGTGGGACCTGGTGCTGGAGCCGTACGAGGCCTGCGGCAGGCCCAAGCCCTGCGACGTCACCATCGTCAAGCTCGCGCGCATCAGCGCCGAGGACGAGCAGTACGTGAGGGACGACTTGTGATTCGATTAACTAGTTTAAAAAAAAAACCAAAAAAAAAAAAAAAAAAAACTGAACGAGAAACAAGGAAATTAGGAAAGTTACCTCTTGAAAACGCGTAAATGTGTGTATACTTGACGGTAGCGGCGCAGAGTCGTGCATAAATCATTCGAGGCACGTCCGCGCCCCCCGCGCTGTAAAGTACTTTTTAACTTATGATCCACGCGATGGCCTCCTAAATCCTCAAATTTATGTTTATTTTATCGATCGGTCCAGCTGTGTGCTATGCAGCAGAAGTGGCCAAACGGGGGGATGGACGGGGGAGAGCAGCAAACCACAGCACAGCGGAGAATAAAGAAGACAGAGGAGCGCGGCGCATAGTGATAGCTTAACGCGGAAGTGATACACGTGCAAGTCACGTCTCGACGTTACATATAGAGAGACAGAGAGAGGCGGAGAGCGTGTTATTTTTTCAGCGCGGCGTATATAGGCACCGTCGAGGGGTATTATAGACACCCTGGGCACGTATAGAGTCGTCTCTCTCACTCCAAAAGCAGAAGCATAACCAGCAGCAGCAGCAGCAGCAGCACAAGAGGAAGAGGAAAGAGAGGCATAATAGCATAAGTTACACGCGGACAAAACGGTGTACTTTGCAGCCTCTCAAGGTGGCCAGTGCGTAGCAGGGAGCAAAAATAAAGCACGACCAGTGAGTATACATGCGAAAAAAGCTTCCGAGATTTCGATAACGCGATTACTGATTGCAGTGTCGCTGAGCTCGCTGCTGCTCTCGTTGCTGTCGTTGTTGTCGTCGTCGATCGGGAGCATCGGTGCGTCGCCGCGCAGCATCAGCCTCGACTTTGAGCTCTACGACTTCGGCCTCAATCAAACCCTCTGCTGCGCCTACTGCCCGGACGACTCGGGCCGTCGCTGCCAAGTGACCGTGTCGAGCTTCCCCGTCTCCTGGTATCGGCCCTGCCTCGCCGACCTCAAGCTGCCGCACTACCGCGACTCCAGGGCGATGGCTCGAGCCTTCCGCGTCCTGCCCGAGGACTCGTTCAGCCCCGAAGACTACCTGGCGGGCCAAGTGCCGGAGTTCGATCGGGACCGGGAGCGATTCCGCGTGGCCTGGCTGGCCCCGAGCCGACGCCAGGCCGACAAGTACCAGCTGGCCGAGAGGCTGCTGCGCTTCGATCGCTGCGAGTTCGTCGGCCGGACGCAGAGGAGTCGCGCCTCGGACGCGGCCTCGGCCCTGCTCGATCTCTACGCCATGCCCGGCGATCCGTTTCGCGACGTCGCGTTCGCCCGCTACTGGGTCTGCGATCGCGAGGCCGCCAGGTGCGACGTGACCTTTCTCAGGTCGGCCAACGATCTCGACAAGATGCTCGATCTCGAGGACAGCATCTGGGACTGAGTGGCCGAGACGGCCTGGTTCGGCGCTTTCAGCTTCATTAGGCTTGGATTCATGTAACTGATCTCTATAAGAAATTCAGTCTCGCGAAAAAATAAGTATAAGTAGATATCTAAATTGTATCATTGATAGTAAATAAATATTAATCGTCAAGTCAAGATTCAGTATCTCGAGATTTTCACATTTAATAATTCATCGAAATGGCCTAGGTAAAAATGCTCAACTTCAATAATGGCCGTTAAAAAAATTAACAATTTAAAATGTTTTAAATTACTTTACCATTAATAAGATTATTTCGGGTGATATTTCTTTTACAATTGTTACAAATATATTAAGCGTATTTTAAATGACCACTTTAAATAAGATCATACTACTTTGAGCCTTCATCACTAGATGGCGAGTTTCTGGATTTGTGAATTTGCAAGCGGCAAAGCCAAAATAAACATATAAGTCTAGTTTCTACCATTCGATGGCAGAATTGTTAGATAAATTTAGCCAAAAAGTTGAGCATGTTCATCAGATAACGTTTATCATAATAAATAATATCTAACGAATATGAATTTAACACATCTTAAAAATGAACTTTCGCAATATATATCCACGTAGGTAGATAATAACGATATAAATTCAGCCACCCTATCGCAGCTGCGAGAACTGTGAAATCCACTCCAGAGAGTCAATTTTGCGCGAGGATATAAGCTCGAGCGCTGCGTGCACAGCAGTACTGCTACATTATACATGTATAAATCTAAAGGCCACTTAGATCGCGGGGACTTTGTTTCAATTTTTCCGCGATCTCTGAGCGAGGCGAACACGCTCGACATTCGCTCTCGCGGGCTATATTATATCATATCCATACGATAGTGATCGGTCGTCGTCGCTCAACGCGCGCCACATCGCTCGGATCCGCAGAAACGCAATTCGAGCCTTCAGCTATTATAATATATATCGTATTCGCGTCGGTCGCCGTGTGTTTTCTCTGCCGTCTCCAATCGCTTGGCGCACTCGAGACGATGTCAGCCTCGACCACGATCGCCTACCTCGCCGTGCCAATTATCCTACTACTGAGCACGAGCTGGCCGTTCGCCGGCGGCACGACCAAGATCAAAACCGTCAACATCAGTTACAAAGTGCTGGACTTCTTGGGGCCGCCCAAGTACTGCTGCGCCGTCTGCCAGGAGAAGAGCCACCTGTGCCAGGTCTACGCGCGCAACAACGGCAGCGTGCGCGACCTCAAGCCTTCGGTCCAGCTGAATCTCACGAGTCTCGAGGCCATCAGGAGCGGCCGGGTGTCGAGTCGCAGTCCCGTGGCGCATCGCCTCAGCCACAAGACCGCCGACGACGCGACGGTGCTGTTCAGCTGGCTGCGACCTCCCGCGGCGGACGGCGCCGAGTCCAGCTACGAGCTCCACCACGAGTCCATCAAGTTCCCGGGCTGCACCGTGGAGAGCCTCAAGTCCTCGTTGTTCGGCAATCTCGGCCTCGCCGTCAGCCGCATGTACAGCTACTACGGCCGGGACGCGCTCAAGTTTCAGCTGCTCATCAGGAGCTACAGGACCGTGCACTTCTCCTGCGACGTCACCATCGTCAAGAAGGTCGTCCACGTGGAGGATTACGTAGACAAAGTGTAGAAATTATTCATTCTATTCTCTCACGTCCAACTTGTAAATATTCGTACGAATGAGCGTTTTATAATATCATTATATACTATGTAACACTAACGTTTAAGCCTCGTAAGTATTAGCTTTTCCACACACGATGTACGATAATAATAATAATAATAATGAGTCGTCGTCGCCGTCGTCGAGGAGAGCCGAAAGAAGCACATAAGAGAGCGAGAAGAAGACGAAGAAGAGCTTAAATTGCACTTTACTCTCTTTTCTCTCGTAGCTACACTGTGCAGCTGCAGTCGCAGCGCGTCCGTCGGCTGTATTGCAAGCACCAGTTAAAGCTCATTCAGTTCAGCGGAATAACAAGTGCTTCTCTTCGTTTAGATAATATTACATAGAAGAGTATAGGTATAACGGCGCTCGACGTGCATATCATCTCAGCGAAAAAAAGGAAAAAATTTGGAAACAAGAGAGGGAGAGTTTATTCATGCACATGGACATCATGCCAGCAGCCTGTTGAGAAAAAAGAATAACGAGTGAGTACATCGATTGTCAAAAGAATCGAAGCTTTTATTCTTCACAAATTGCGTCATTGAAATCGACAGATACGTCCGAATCGTCATGGCTCATCGACGGCTGCTCCAGCTGGTCGTCTCGGCGCCGCTGCTGCTGCTCTGCGGCGGCAAGGCCATCACCAGCGACCTGAATCGCAACAACTTCTCCAACGCCGTGATCTGCTGCGCCGTGTGCGACGAGTCCGGGGCCAACTGCTCCATCACCACGTCCAATCAGATCTACAACGAGCAGAACTTCAAGAAGTCGTGCCGGGTGCGCTTCCACGCCAACGGCACCTACGAGAGCTCGCCGGTCTACGTCGAGGAGGAGCCGCCGCCGCCGCCGTCGCAGTCGAGTCGACTGCAGGAAGGAGACGCCGGAGCTACATCGACAGCAGCAGCCGCATCGAATCAACCGCTGTACCTGAGCTGGCTGGATCTGCACCGGGGCGGGCCCAACGACGAGGGCAACAAGACCATCGACTTCGCTCGCTGCCTCGTGGACACGCACAGGCCCGGTAAATTCGATCGGGCCGAGCTGCCGGCGATCAGAGCCTACGGACTGTCGGGTGCCAAGGCCGAGCAGTACGAGCTGGTGCCGAGGGAGCAGGAGATGTGTGAGGAGACCTGTCAGATGATGATACTGAAGCGAGTGCCGAGCTTGGACGATTACATGGAGAAGAAAAAGATCACCGACGAGTGACGACCGCTCGTCATTATTACTATTATTATTTATTATTAATAATACAGAATATCCTAATATATTTGTGTGTATAAATGTCGCATTCAATGGAAAATATAATGTCTATTTATAATGTAAAGCAATGTTCAGTGTAGAGAAGCAATATCATACGTATATATGACCTTGTAACAGATATATCATACATAGACCGCGAGTAGTGGCATTACCAATTTTGCAACGATCCCGTCAATCAGCGCGCGTCCTGACTTAGAACTTGGCCTCTGGCCACGTGCGAGCCTCATCAATTTTCTCTCTCTCTCACTCGAGAGAGCTTAATATACATAAGTAGACGACTCGAAGCAATTTATCAATTATCTCCGCGTGCGATAGGCCGCCGGGCTCCGATTGAATCGGACTCGAGAAAAAAAGCTCTCGGGCACAAACGCGCGGCGAGCACATAGCTGTCGACATGTCGATCCGTGCTACACTCCTGCCGCCGATCATGGTTCTCGTCGCGGGCGTCGTCGTAGTCGTCGTCGTCGCCCAGGCGGCCGACGATCCCAAGCCCAAGATCCACAGTCTGCCCATACAGTTCAGCACGTACGCGTTCGAGCGCGCGAAAATCTGCTGCGCCCAGTGCGCCAAGGCCCAGTCGGTCGGCAAGTGGAACTGCACGGCGATGCTGCCGCAGAAGCACCAGCGCGCCGACTCGAGATTCGGCGCGGCGGACTGCCCCCTGCAGCTGGACAAGCCGCGGCAGCGACTGCCCGCCTGGACGTTTCGGGCGGTGGCCCTCGATCCGGACTCGGACTGGATGCTGCTCGTCTGGCTGTCGAGGCGACGCGTCAACAAGACCACGAGCTCGACGAGAATCGGCAAGCTCATCCTGGACTTCTCAACGTGCACCCCCGAGGGCGGCGTCGACTGGACCGAGGTCGACAACGAGGGTCTGGCTCTGAACTACATTCACCGGCTGGCCGACGGTGCGTCCGGCGACGACAGCAACGACGATGGCGGCGGCGGCGGCGGTGGGGCTAACAAGAACGTCCAACACAGGCAGGCCATGAACATCGTACAGCCCATGTACGACCTGACGTTCGCCGAGAACAAGGCCTGCGGCGTCAAGCGATGCGACGTCACCGTCGTGCGGAAGAATTAATTTTAATAATCGATGTATCAATATTGCCATTATGTCATTGTTATAATATCTATATTACGCGTAAAATATGTAAATTATCTATAATCTGATGGAATAAAATTGTCATGAAAATGCAATTATCGGCTACCTCTGCGTTTACATTTAATGCCCTTGCCACGAAATTGACATAGAACTTGGCGGTTCGGTGTGTGCGCACTCGTGCAGTTTGTGAATGTCAGCCCCTCGAGCAGCTTCGAATTTTCCAATTGTCTCGTTTTATCGTTTCGCATTACGTACTGATACGCGTTCTCATGATACCGATCATTGTCTACGTGCCCCGCGTATAGTTTCATTATTTTAGTTTCGGTCGATCGATCGTGTGCATGTGCGCGTGAGAAAATAAGTCTTTCCTTCGATCTTCGCGCGATACCGAAACGTAATATCGAGTATGATCGAACGATGGCTTTTGCTCGGGTGCCTCGTCTGCTTCCTCGCGTTCGTCCGCTCGAAAACCATCTACAGCAACGACGTGAACGTCGACGATTGCCCGAAATTCCAAGCCTACGCCAATCAGGAGGTGAGCATCTGCTGCGTCCAGTGCGATCGCAGCCCCGAGAAGCGCTGGAACTGCAGCGGTAGCATCGTCAAGCCCGAGCGCCGAGCCACCGCCTGGACGTTTCGCCTCGACACCGAGCGAGTCATGCTGGCCTGGCTGACGTCGACCAACGACGACTTCGACGACGGCAGCGGCATCGGCGTCGACGGCGAGGACGACGACGATCAGTGCCCCGAGATCCGAGTCGGCAGGATGAGGGTGAACTCGGCCAGCTGTCTGCTCGAGGGCCAGGTCGAGTACGCCCAGGTGCAGGACAGGCGCGAGGGACTGCGCGTGCTGCACAATCTCACCCGGGTCTACTCGGCCAACGACGGCCTGGCCTACTCGGTGAGCATGAGCCAGCCCGGCTACGACTTTGACTTCGGGGAGAATCGCGGCTGCAAGGGCTGCGACCTGACCCTCATCAGGAAGAAACTCTGCGCTTATTGAAGAGGAATGAAAGAATCGAGAGATAGACGTGTTAATTGCTACTAATTCTTCTCTTTTTTTTTTAATAGTGCTTCCATTATCATACAAAAGAAACGATGCACTAACTCTAATCGATGTAAAAGAAAAAAAAACATAATTAACCGCACTCGACTTATTCTATCTATAAAACAACCCTCACAATTGATTGATTAATGCTTAAAAAACTTTATATACAAAAAAATTAATATCGAGTCTTTTCGTGGCACAATATACAACGTAATTACAATACACTACTATTCAAAAAATTCATTTAAGGTATAATAATACTCGACCAAAATTTACAAAACTTGGCACTCGACGATACACGCGCACTCGAGTCAATCTCACGTCACTGTCACGATCTTTTCGCTCGCCGTCGAAGTCGCGTTATGCGAAGAGCTGCTGTTAAAGTTCGACCTTCCAGACGTCGTCGCGAGATTCTTGCCGCTCTCCTGCGGCTGCGGCTGCTCCTTGTTGCGCCTGCTGTGAAAAATGCCTAAATCCTCGTCGCTGTGGCACTTGGCCTGCAGACTGTAAACCACGTTGACACCGTCGCTGTCCTGCTGCTGCGACTGCTGATAGTCCAGGTAGGTCTCGCCGCAGAGCACCGAGACGCAGACGCGCTCGCCGCCCGCTTGGCCGCCAACGAAGAGCCTCGTCCTCGCCTGGTCGCTGTCCCTGGAGCAGCCGTGCCTCTGGTACTCGCTGCTGCCCAGCTTGCCGCCTCGATCGTTGAAGCGCAGCAGTCGGTAGCGCAGCTCCGCGCCGAGACCCGAGCAGCCGGCTCGAGAGCAGTCGACCGTGAGCAGATAGAAGCCGTCGCCGTTGGGCGAGTTGAGCACGGCGATGTCGCGCGGCTCGTGCTCCGTCTCGTGGACGAGCTCGCTGCGGGCCCGGCCGTTCTGATCGTACTGGGTGCAGTTGACGCGACGCCGCTGCTTGGCGCCGCCGAGCGAGCACAGCGTCATCTTGCCGGGACTGGCCGAGTACACAGGGTTCAGGTACTCGAGTCGAGCCGCGTCGTACTTTAGCGGGTAGACGTTGACCTCGCGCTTCTTGCCTGCGTGACACAATAACAACAATTTCAATTTCAATAAAAACGGTATTCGAAATATTTACCGATAAAATCCAAGTTAGTTTTGCATAATTCATTTTGTGGGATTCCTAATAGATTATTATAAGTAAATGTACGTATATAGATGTGTTGATCGGTCTGGAGTGGGTAACAGATATATTCGCCAGTGCTAAAAAGCTCTGAACGTACTTTCACTTATACAATTATTTTAATTTTGCCACTTGCAGATTTACACATAAAGGGGTCTCGCCATCTAGCGGTAGATGCTGGCTTTAATTACAATTGAATGTTCATACATTTTTTGATTAACTCAAAAAAACGAATATTAAAACATGTGCTTTCAATCAAGTTGTTTCAATTTTAGTTTAATATTAAATTTTTTTGTTAATTTTTGTATTGATAATCTATGCACCCGGTTAACTTTGCATGCATTTTTTTACAGTTTATATAAAAATAGGAATCAATATTTATACATCAATTCTCAACGAAGATTTCATGAAAAAATACTTCAAATGGCCATCAGAATCGATTACTTTAATTTTAACGTCTGATTTTCTATTAAAAGTTTTTTTTGTTTCAACAACGCGTATTTATCGCGTGCGGATAAAAATATATCGCTCACCGTCGTTCCTCATCAGCGAGACCACGGCGAGCATCTCGCCGTCCCCGGTCAAGCTGCTTCTGCGCTGCTCGATGACCAGGTACTTTTTCTCGGCGCTCGAGCCGTGACCCGAGGACGAGGGCAGCAGCGGCACGATCTTCACGCGTCTCGGATCGTCGTCGGCGATCTCGCTCGTGCCTTCCTCCGGTCCGTCGACGAACCGGCCCCGGGCGTCGTACGTCAGCTTGAAGAAGCTGTACGACCTGTTGACTCGGCGCTCCCAGACGAATATCTCGTAGTTGGTCGGCGGCTGCAAGACGAGCGTCGTGGTCCAGGCTCGCCGGCCGGCGTCGAGACTGCCGGCCGAGCGCAGGCTGCAGTCGGTGAAGTCCAGACTGACGTGGCGCACGACCCGGGACCCGCTCACCGGATCGAACGACGTCCACCGGACGAGGGTGAGATTGCCGGCGTACGGGTATAATCGGAATCTCGTGTTCCTGCGCAGGGGCGACGATCGTCCGTCTTCGTTATTACCCGCCGTCGTCTCGTCGTCGTCGTCGAGGCTCGGCAGGCTGACGTTACAGACGAGTCTCTCGTGCCTGCCGTCGAAGCCGTAACGCTCGAGATCGAAGCGGCAGCGATTCTGCCTCCATCGGCCCGGAGTGGCGGCCTCCTGGCAGCGAGCATAGAGCAGGCTCGTGTTGAAGAACTCGAGCCTCGAGGAGTCGACGTTCTGCAGGTAGAGCTGCTGCTTGCCGACGACTATGTCATCGTTACCGGTCACCGACGATGCCAATAACGAGCCGAACAGCAGCAGCAGGCCGAGAATCGTCGTCGACGCGAGGATCCGAGCGATCGCTAATTGCGCCTTCCATGCCTCGATCATGACGATTAAGGCTCTCTGTCGTCGGTCACGTTGCTTCTTGATCCAGGAAGCCGATTCCGACCGAGCTCCTCGCGAGCAGATCTGCGAAGAAAAATAAATTTGACGTCGCTGTAGTATATATAGTTAAAATACACGATTCGTATATTATCACTATGCAGAGAGCAACGAAGGGCAATGTTGTGCATTTACAATATTATAATACTGCAATTGTATTAAAAACTCACCTTGACACATGTTTCGACGATCTCTCGCTTGGGATCAATTCAATCGCGTCGTCGTCGTCCTCGTCGTCGCCTGCGATGGACAACGAGATCTCGGTCATCGGCCGAGCATCGCACACATAGATCGTGTTTTATACGCGAATCCGTGCTGGTGCTCGGAAGCAGCTCGGCGACTATGAGGGACTAGAAGGGACCCCCCTTCAAACATACAGAGCCACGCAGTAATCACGGCAGTCCCTTGATAATTATCCTCAACTCTCGTGCTGCTATATACGATCCTTCGCCATCTCCTCTTGTTTTGTCCTCCTCTGCGGCCAGCGCAACGGCAGCTCTCCTCTCTATCCGCGCGCAACACCACTCGTAAAAAAAAAAAAAATATGCACGATCTCGTTGCGAACTTGGCCCTCGACGAGTAGGAAGGAAGACAGCACCAACAACAACACCAACAATGGGCAAATAGACGTGTATGTCCCACGCACTCGTTGATAAAATATTCTTCTTCAGACAGCAGCAGCAACAGCTACGATGAGTAATATAATTCCGGAGCGAAGACGAGCGTCGATTTTTCCCTTTACGCACTGCATATATGCAGAGAGGAGAATTGCACTGCACTCCGCGTATATATGCACTATATACTCTCCTTTCTCGCGTACAGTTACGCGTATACACGGCGTATGTATATGTACGCTGCGCCTCGCTCTCTTTTCCTTACGCTCTCTCACTCGCTCCTCTCTCTCTCTCTCTCTTTCTCTGGGCCTTGTGTACGAAGATCGCGCGTATATACCCAACGCTGCCGCCGACTGTATGTGTACGTATAGTACACAGCATACACGAGAGAGGCTGGAGGAGGATCCAAAAACCTGTTTGCAATGCGGTTGGGGTCGCTTCGCTTCTCTCCACTATATACTATATATATATAACGTCGGAGCGAAGGACGATCAAGGCCAGGCTACACTCGTGCCTCCGTGCAACTGCACCGAAAATCCCGCGGTCCCGCATCGAGAGGGTCCGTGGCCTGGCCGGGATATATGTGATACAGCGCAGCTGGACTATCGCGATCGTGCTCGCCGCGGGGCCTGTTATTGTGAGTCGTGCCTTTATGTAACATAGAGTACTTGTGCCGCCGCGATACGGGGGCCCTGCGCGCAGCGCCGAGTCGTTCTTGAACTTGGCAATACACCGAGTCGGAGAGAGATGGACGCGCACAGGAGGAGGAGGAGGATTATCGCGGGCCGTTTCCGAGCGTGTACGTCGGTACTGCGGTGCGAAAGGGGTTGCGCGCACTGCGCATACATCGCCCTCTCGCGTTTGAATTTCAACCTGTGCGCTAAATATCGTCTTTTACAGCAAAACTTGTTTATTACATGCCTGCAACTCGATTGGATTTTTTTCTTTTTAACTCGAGAGTCTGTTTATGTACGCGCGCGCGGATATAGGAATTTAGATTTTTATATCACCTGTTTACATGTGTATTAATATACACTGTATAGTAAGACCTCGTTAATTCGAAATCCAAGGGACAGGCTTCGAAGTAAGGAGGATTTCGAATAATCGAGGTTTCATTTAATGAAGTCGAAGGAAGGTGCAATTGAAAAAAAGGTTGTATTATCGAAAAAAACAGGTACTCTTATTTATTTAATATTTTAAGATGATTCCAATTATTTTTCGTAAAGTAAAATGCTATTTTATAATCAAGTAGCAAATTTTTCAATGAAATATTTTACTTTTTAAACTTTTTCATTCATGATGCGAAGAAATTACCTGCTATTAACTTGACTAGTGTCTTTATCGTCTTTAATTATTCATACTTAACTACTATACTTTTACACATAATACTTGCGTATACATTGTGTAAATGTAAACATGCAAAATTTTATCTCGAATTATTGAGGTTTTATCGTAATTATTTTACCAAGTGTATGAAGGATTTTGTTCAATACATGGATGAAAAAATCGCTGCTATATGGCACCTGTAATTGACTCATTTTTTTTTTTTATTAAAAAAATTAAAAATAATAAAAATAAAAAAACAATTATCTCATTATGTTCTTATCGAGTAAAGAGTCCAGCCGTCGTGGAGTCGAAGAGACCGTCGAAAAACTCCTCGACCGACTCGAAGAATCCCTTGTTGGCCTGCTGCACCGGTTTCAGGTCCTTCTCGCCGAAGCACTTGGCGTCCAGGCGAAACACCTCGCCGCGGTCGCGCCTCACGTGATACAGATACTTCTCCTTGCACATGAGCGAGACGCAGTACTCGCCCGTGAGCTCGGTCTCGAAGAATCTCGCGCTGGTGGTGCGATTCAGGCCCGAGCAGGCGTACTTCTCGTCCTTGAGGCTGGCCACCTTGGCGCCCTTGTCGTCGAAACGACTGACGCGGTAGCGATGCTCGCGCCCGTGGCACTTGGGATCGGCGCACTGGACCGTGAGCAACAGAAAGCCACCCGCGGGCAGATTCAGCATGGCTATTTCCTGGAGCTGGCGCTTGAAGTCGAGGGTGACGTCGAACTTGGCCTGGCCGTCGAGATCGTACTGGGCGCAGCTGACCTGGTGATCGAGGCGCGAACAGGTGCCGATCAGGTCGTGAGCCGTCGAGTAGATCGGATTCACGTACTCGACCTTGTTCTGGTCGAGTATGACGGGGTAGCTCTTGAGCGGCAGCTTGGTACCTATTAATACACAGAGAGAAATATGGATTTTCACGATCGGTATCGCACTTGCTTGCTACAATCAGTCTTACCGTCGTCACCGAAGAGCGAGACGATGGCGTTGCGTCCTCCGAAGCCGTTGGTACCGTCCGGATAGTTCTGCTCGATCAGCAGGTAGCTCTTGGAGAAGCTGTTGACGGGCAGCGGCACCAGCTGCAGATACTTGACGTCGTTGTTCTTGTCGTTGCTGAAGAGAGTCACGGCGTTGCTCAGAATCTTGCCCCTGTCGTCCATCGACATCTTGTAGATGTTGAGATTGGAGTCGTTGGCGTCGACGCGCTCCCAGAACACGATCTCGAACTTGTCGTCGTAGGTGATGAAGTGGCCCGCGCTCGAGCGCTCGGGTATGTCGAGCGACGTGTAGTCCAGCCGGCAGTCCTCGGCGAAGTGCAGCACGGCGATGCGATACACCTGGGCCTTGTGGTCCTCGGTCTTCACCGTCCAGTGGACGATGGTCTTGTCGCTGCCGAAGGGCACGAGGCCGATGTCCGTGGTGACGACGACCTGGTCCTGGTCCTCGGCCACGTCGCTGGCGCGCAGCTGCACGGCGCAGGACAGTTTGCGCGTCGGGTCGTCGTCGAAGCCGTACCGGTCCAGATGGAACGTGCAATTGTTCGAGGTCCAGTTGGTCTCGTAGAGGCACTGGGCGTGCACGACGCTCGTGTTGTAGAACGCCACCTTGCTCGAGTCGATCATGTTCTTCAGGTAGTTCTGGTGCTTGGTCAGCTTCTTGAGCTTAGCTCGGCTGCCCGCCAGCAAGCAGTTGAGGCACAGAATCGCCAGGATGATCGAGCTTCGGCTCCATGCTCTCATTGTTGCGAGGTGTGCACGATTCACTTACTTAATTGATTAAAAATTTATGAAAGAAAAACAAAGAACAGCAGCGATCGCTGTGTATATCGACTTTTTTTTTGGACACTCGAACCCGCGGAGAGCGACTCACGAAAGCTCGCACTTAATCGGCGCAGTAGTAGCGACGCACTGACACGCGCGTTCACCAAACAAGTACAAGGTGAAAACTGAAAATGTGTACAAGATGTTTTGCGCATAACTTTATACTATGGGCATATACGTCCGTCGTGCCCCGTCACTTCTTCGCTGAAAAGACGAGCGAACGAGCGAGCCTAGCGGTTTTCCGCGTGGCTTTTTAATTTTGTTCGCGCTTTAACGATCGAGTCTCTTTCTCTCTCTCTCTCTTTTGCGCGCGACTATTTATATATATTTACACGCTCTTCGCCGTAAACACACGCACGAACGCATCCTGGCCGACTCGGGCGAGCGAAAATTCACCGTTAATATTCTTTCCATTTTTTTCCTCCTTTTTTTCGTTCAACTTTTGAGCTCAAAGCTAAAAACGTGTGTGTGTGAGTGTGCCGCTCTAAGATGAGAATCAGCGGGGCACACACGCGTCAGTAGTGCATGTATCGCGGCACGCGTGCAGACGTTTGTTTTGCTCATTATGCGCGAGCACGACATAACGTATACAAAACAAAGGAATTTTCTCACGATCGCTTCATCGATGGCTTGCTTCAAAACGAGGCTCTACTCTCGTGTGCCAATTTCCATCAAATTTAACGATCCCATCTCGTCGCGCTACTTGGTCGTATATTATGCGCTATCCTACCTGCACTCGTAGCTGCACCAATAGCGGCAAAAACCAGTCGAACAACGCGACGATGAGTTCGAAAAGCGTGACACTTTCTTCGCATGAATATTATGATTGTCAATCTATGCGCGTGAAGCCGCTTCGTTTATGAATATCATGTATGAAAACGGAGCATGACTCGTTGCCGAGCTTGTTTGTTTACATAAACTCATAGATATAAATAATACAGTGTAAAATTCGTGTACATGAATGAAATAGAATGCTTTGCCAAGTGCCTAATTTTATTTCATGCACTATAAGAAAACATGATTATTTTCTAGCCTTGATACATTATTTAATGATCGTTTCAGCTAATTTTAATGGCTAGACGGCAAACGAAATTTCAATTGTTGATAGCCTAAAAGATATGATTTTTTTTATCAGTGGCATAAAAATTCAAAGGTCACCGAAGGGAAATGCTCCATTGCGACAAGAGTTGCTAAGGGCTAAGATTGTCCTATATTCGAAAAAAATTTTCACGTGTTTATAATTTTTGTCTTTTATCGCTTAGTATTATCAGTGTACCATTGTAAAGGTCGCACAATGTGGCATTTCCTCTACAATATGCTACATTGGATACATACAGTCACACGTGTCGCCGAGCATTGTTAATTAGAATCCGAAATGTGTCCGCTTTATCGTAAAACGATACACACAATGTAATATCCGCGCGTATATAGTAGTACTGCGTAGCACAAGTGCTGCTCCTCGTATCTCGCGCGCTCGAGCTTTTTTTTTTGTTTTTCCGCTGTTTCTCTTCCGAAACAGATGATAAAGTCAATGAGGAGTATTTAAACTTGCGTCGCGAGTGCAGACAAGCTAGTTTCCATTAATCGTCCGCTCGCGTAAGCACGCGCCGAGTCGTGTGTGTGTGCGTGCGTAATATATAAATGAGAGTCTGGTAAGTTTCTCGAAGTATACAGATTAAACTTTATACTTTTTTTATAAACGGATTTGTTTGTTGCACAATATTATTACACACATATATTTACACTTGACTCGACGAATCGTAAGCTTTGTTCTCGTCTCCTCGCGGAATATAACATCGCGCATTACATCGATTCTCTTGTTTTATTCTTCCACAGACTGACATAGCGCATTGAAATATAAATAAATTTTGTTCGCAATATGGCGCTCCGACTTATCGTCTCGGGGCTCTTGTCCGCGCTCTTTATGCCGCTGCTATCGGCCGGCGAGTCAATAACCGTGCTGCAGCTGGACAGCGCCAAAGACGATCTGTTCGCCGTCACCCCGCCGAGCTTCGCGGCGCCCGACCGGGCCGCCTACGTCAGGTGCGAGCTCGAGGTCGATCCCTCCAACGGCCAGCATCGATGCCAGCTCAACTACAGGTCGGACGTGTTCGGCGACGACGGCCAGCCACCGGAGTATTATCACTCGTGCCCTCTGCAGATCGGCGCCAATCTCTGGGAGAACGTGGAGCGTCGCGAGGTGCTCGTGGAGCCGCTGAAGCCGCGCGATCGCGTCGTCGTGGCCTGGCTCGAGGCCGGCGGCAGTCTCCTCCAGCTGCGCAACGTCCAGTTCCCGAGCTGCCAGATGACCGAGGCCAGCTTCCCCCTGGACAAGGTGCGCGACGACAAGTTCGCCAAGATCGTGCCGCTCGAGCGGGGCGGCGGCTACAACGTCGTCTTTAGCAGCAAGAGGCTCTGCGGCGCAGACAAGTACTGCAAGGCCCGACTCGACGACCAGGGCATCGTCGTGGAGGCCCCCAGCGCCTGGATCGAGGTGCCCGAGCAGGCCAAGAAGATGATGGTCGCGTCGGTCGGCGACAACGAGTACCTGGTGATCCAGCTGCAGAGCAACGGAGTGGCTCACGTTCAGCTCACCAGGAAAGACGGTACGACATCGAGCGAGCACCTTCGCGTCATTTTTTCACGTCACGTTGAATAATTCTTTCTTTTTTTTTTTTGTCGCCACCTCGCAGGAAAAGTAAAGATGGCCCGCCACTACTCGGACGTCGAGGACACGAGCAAGATCGCCTACTCGACGGGCCACGACTCGATCCGCGTCTGCGTCGATCGCCACTCGAACCTCGAGTGCAGCCAGTTCAATCGCGAGGGCAAGCACAAGGGCCAGCAGGAGCTCAGCCTGCCCTATCATCTCGAGTCCAAGACGCGCAGCGTCGGCCGCATGACCATGCACAATCTGCCCGACAACGGCTTCCTGCTGCTGAGCCTGGTCTGCCAGGATCGCCACTGCCTCGGCCACAAGACCTATCACCTGGCCCGGGTGGATCGGCAGGGCTCGGTGCGCAGCCAGGCCCAGCGCCCGGGCTGCCAGCTGATCGGCGAGCAGCTCGAGGACAAGTTCTACGAGAGCAAGAACGAGCAGGGCGAGGACGAGTACTGCCTCGTGCTCAGATGCATCGAGACGGATCTGCGCTCGATGCAGCGCTTCACCTTCGAACGGTCTTGCTACAGCGGCGACGACTTCAAGCTCGACTTTTAGATTATTTTCTTTTTTAATATCCTGATATTTGTACGATAAGAATAATAAAAATAAATCTGTAAACTGTTGTTGCGATAATTTATTTCGATAAACACCAAGTTTCGTCGACTTGAAAATCGAATCAAATCGTAACTCTGGTGGGATAGAGCCTTATAAGGTATACGCCCTATTTTCTATCAGTTAGGCCCTAATTTCGATTAAATTTAAATCCATTTTTTATATAGGGTTGAAACTTGATATCTGATTTTGAATAATGCATTTCTGTTGAAAATGTTCGATTCATTCAGCCAATTATTAAAAAAAATGTTCTTACGTACAATTAAGTTGTTAATATTAATTATTGATCGAATACAGGGACATGATCGAAAATAGGGGCATATACCTTATTGTAATTACAATGTTGATCTTTACATCAATTTTGCCTTCAATCAGTCGACCGCTTGAGTCGCTATTGACAGTACACACGTCAACAAAGGTAAGCGTAGCTCAACGATCACGATAATTCTCACAGACGAATTCATCGACTCTCGATATTCTGACGATTTTTTCGCTTTTTTTTCGTTGGTCGTACAGACGGTATGCATACCGTGGCGAAAATCCTTTCATTGCTCTTGTTGGTGACGAGCCTCCGGGCCTCATTGCCCGACCAGTTACCGAGCTCTTACTGGCAGCACTACCTGCCGGGCGTAAATCTGATCTTCAACGAGGAAGCGTACAACGAAAGGTCTCACGTGTACGCCCTCTGCCCGGAAAACGATGGCAGCATAAACCGCACCTGCACGATTACCCGCACCGACGAGCTCGAGTGGATCCGTCGAGTCAATGATCGCAATTGCACCTTCGACGTGACGACGTATTACGATAGCTTGAAGCCGGGCCAGGTGAAACTGTTGCTTTTGGGCGCCGACAAAGCCATCGTCAGCGCGTTCATCCCGACCTTGAGCGCGCGCAGATGGCAACTAAGTATAGTGGACTTCAATACCTGCTCAATTCATCAGCCCATGGGTTTGGATAAGTTCGAGCCCGTAAAGTTCATCGTCTACGAGAGATCGTTTTACGTGATAGTCAAAGGCTCTACAAAGGGTATGAAGTGTTACCACAAGCCGGGAAGCCGGAACGTGCGGAGGTGCTGGATAAGGTTCACCGACGAAGGCAGTCCAATTGGGCCCCGACCTTGGTTCAGGCAGTTATTCGACGACGAAAACTTCATCTTGGCGCCGCTCCAGGAAGATACGGAGGTGCTGGAAGACTTTCTGATGATCGAACTGTTCCAGCAGGTGAACCATAAACCGGTGCTCGCCGAGGCCTTGATCCAAGGATGGGGCAAGGGTAGGTCGGAACCCGTGCCCGAGCAGAGAAAACGCCTGCTGAGCCACGAAACCGAGCACAAGACCATCCGGCTGCGCAGATACACCGTGCTGGACTTGTTCTCTCGGTGGCGCTGGTTAAATCCGTACGAGCGCATCGCTTACTCGACACACGCCGGCTACATCGGCATCTGCGCCAAGAAGGAGGACATGGTGCTGATCTGCAGCCAATACGACGACGACGGCAGGCTGCAATTCGAGCACACGTTCGACGTGGACCCCGCGCTCGGCTACTTCCACGAGATGGCCGTGATGAATCTGGCCGCCGAGAAGGGTGGCGGCATGCTGCTGGTCATGGCCGGCTGCAGGGACCGCATGTGCAACAGCAAAACCCATAATGCGTTCCGGGTGGCGAGGATCGGCTTGGACAGCGACCTACTGGAGACCGTGCACACGATCCCGAAACGCTCCTGCAGCCGTCACATAAATCGGGCCAGCGGCAAGTTGTACGAGATGGGCCCGGGCAGATACTGCTTCACGCATGCCTGCTACGAGGACTTTTTCGTGGCGTCGTACAAGAACAAGAACCAGGAGAGGGACAGAACGGTGAAGTTGGGCAGGGACTGCTTCACAGACAGCGACCTCATCTCCCGGCAAAACGTCGACTGGAGCCTTAAAATTAATAAGAAGGATTGGTTCATGCGTCCATGATGAGGACGACGATGGTGATTTTAATTGTACATAAATAACACACACACACGATGTGATCAATTGATTTTGTTTATGTTCCGTTTGATACAATTTTATACTCTTACGATAGGTTTTAAGTTATCATATGTATACTCTGTACATATATTCTATATACGACTTCAATATGGATCATAAATAAATAATACTTTTTTTTTCAATCGAAACGATCTGCCTCGCTATTAAATATAATCCCTTATTCTTCGTGTGTGAATTAATGAAAAATGATCGACAATGCCTCTCGCATCTCGCGCAGCGAAACAACAACAATCGTTATACACGCAGCGCAATATTATTGTGCATACCACTGCTTCCGCTATCGGTTCGTGATAAAAGGCCTCTGCTGCGCGATGCGAATGCGAGCTGGCAAATAATCGCACCGGGACTCGCAGCAGCAGCAGCTTTCCCATATTCTCATCTCTCGCTCGCAGACTCGAGTCGGCCCGCGATCGTGACGCGAGCAGCACAGCTCGCCCCGCACAGACGACAAAATTATGAAGCCGTCGGTGGTAGCCGCGTTGCTTTTCACTTTTCTCTCTCTTCACTCGGCAGATCGGACGCTCGGCGCGCTTGGAAAATCACGCATCGATCGCGAGCCCCTGCCGGCTAAATTGTACGATCCCGACTCGTTCGACAATCTGAGCGACGATGCCTGGGTCGGACGAAGTTTGTTCTACGCTTACAGAGACGTGGACAAGAATTTCGAAGAGGCTGCAGCAGGACGACGCTTCCTCATGCTCGTGCCGGACCTGTTCAATCAAACGGACCACTGGTCGTGCCCACTGCTGAAAGACTATCAGAAGCTGCCCAGCGAGACGAATCAAAAAAAGCTCGACTTTACCCTGCTGTCGCCGTACAGCAAAAATCTCGTGGTTTACGGCTCGATCGAGGCCGCGGCGGACCTCGACAACAAGCGCATTCGCCTGGCGAGGGTTCAGCTGGCCGATTGCGGCGCCCGAGTCACCGAGATGACTCTCGACGCGCGCGACGACGCGATCTCGTTGCTCAACGTTCTGCCCTACGTCGACGGCACCTACGACTTCGTCTACGTGGTCGGACCGGCCAACAGCCGGACCGTGAGGACGACCTACGATCCACAGGGCAGACGAGTCCAGCGCACCGACTCGTGGTTCCCCGTGGCGCCCGACACCGAGGAGCTGTCGGTGGTGCCGCTGCGGCGAGGCACCCGCGATTCCGGACACTTGCTCATCGAGAAGACCGACAAATCGCTCTGCGTGACTTTGATCGATAAATACGGTGAGCGATATGATTATCCAACCCTCTGTGTGAATTGTTTTAGTGAAATAATTGAGATATCGGACGAGACATCTTGGGTAAAATTATCTGTTTTCTTTTTTTTTTAATTTAGTCGGACATTTATGACATCTATTTCGGTAAAAATTATTGGCTTGTTTTGGAAAATTTTCTGTTTAAATTATTTTAAAAATATTGAATGCTTTTTAAATGATCTAAAGATGATCATTTAATTATATTTTAAAAATTGTAGACCAACTTTCAACTATTATTAATCTTTGCTATCTGTAAGTTTACAGGTAGCAAAATCAAAATAATTATACATGTCAAAGCAGGGTTTTGAAATATTTTATATAATTTATAGCTATGTCGTTTGAATTGACGTTTAAAATGTCAAATGTAGAAAAAAAATGACTGGAAAACGTTTTTTAAAATTGACCCTTAATTTATGTTACCCGCCTTTCACCTTGACAAACAAAATTAATCGAGGTCTTTCTTTCTTGTTATCAGGAAAAGCCACATTGCTGAAAAATCACAAATACATCCCTAAACTACCTCCCAAGGAAGCAATGGACGTCCGATACTTGCGCCGAAGCCACGGATATCAATTCGATTATTCGCTCGAGCACGACACCGTAGGTCTGTGCTTCCAAGGCGGACGAAGCGTCACCTGTTCCCAGTTCGACTTTGCGGGCAACATGAAGCTGGAAAAGTCCATGAAGCTCGATCGAGACCTGCTGGAGCTGGCCCTGCACAACGAGCCGGCCAATCGTGGCGGATTCCTGCTCATGCTGACCCTCGAGGAGGACGAGGGTCTGCGAAACGTGGACAAGCGTCGCTTCGTCGACGGCGCCGAGCGGACCTTCGCCCCGATCGCCCGCGAAAAGGATCGCAGAATTTTCCGAATCGACGAGCGCGGCAGGATTCTGGGCTCGATGGACATCTACAAGTTCGGCTGCGAGCTCGAGCCGAAGATCATGAAGCCGAGATTCTTCGACCTGGGCGGCGGCAACTACTGCCTGGCCATGATCTGCTGGGACTCGACGACTCTCAGGCATGCAGCCATGGGAGTGGCGAAGAATTGTTTCTCTCACGACGATTTCACTCAAAAAGCGTAGACTCTTTAATGTGTAATAAATAAAAAATTTACAAAATGTACACTCGTGTCTTGATAAATTTAACAAAACTTTAGTTTATCGATCTATTCTTTATCATTTACTTTTATAATATCGACGCAATCTTTGCCGACTGCTCATCACAATCTTGGCGTTCGCTCGCTCGGTGACGAATCGTCGTCGTTCAGTCACGCAATAGCTGTGCGCGCGCGTGGCCAGCTCGCATACAGTATTTTATCTTTTTCTTTTATTTGCTCTCGCGAAAATGGAATTCTTTAAAAGTCTCAGCGCGATAATCTTACTCGTGGCCGGATTTTATGATTTGCCGGTCGTACAGGACATTCGAAACTCGACGACAACGACGACGACAACCATCGAGCCAAAAGCAGCCGTCGAGCATCGAGTCTGGACACATCCGGCCACGGAGAAGCTCGTGGTATTCGACGCCGCTGACGCACTGACGGGCAAGTTCTTCGCTCACGCCGACTGCGATGGAGATGAACGCGTCAAGGCGTGTCAGTTTTACCTCTACGAGGATCTGCAGCCGAAGTACGAGTGCCGGATCGAGCTGAGCAGTGTTCACGAGGCGGGACGCGTCGACGAGATCGCGATCGCGAATCACGCCGACGGACGCTGGGCCGTCGTCAACTGGCGCGACGCGAATGGCTCGTCGAGCGTGCCGGGCCTCGCCATCCTGGACTGGTCGAGCTGCGGACTGCGGCGGCAGCCGTGGCAGCGCGAGGCGACGATCCTCAAAGTTCTGCCGTTCAAGAGAGACGCGAAGTTCGCCGTCGTGCTAGTGGACAAGGAGCAGTGCCGCGACTCTTACTGCGTGACCATCGTCGGTTTCGACGATAATAATTCAGTGGCGTCGTCGTCGCCGCCGGTCGCCGCCAGCACCATAACTCCGCTGTACGAGCGTCGAGGCAACGTCAGTTACGAGTATCTCGACTTCGTGCTGCTCGAGGAAGATAAGATAACGGGACGCTACGCGCACTTCATGCTCATCGAAGACTTTCGCGAGCGGCTGGAAGACGAGGAGACACCATCCGCTGCCTACGACAGACTGACGGAGCGCATCACGATTTTGAAGAGCCACGCCGCGGATCGGATCGACGGTAAGTAAGCTAGATAAGCTGTCGCCCGTCGGTGTGACGCCTAACGGTTGATTGACAATCTTACGCGTTATTTGCAGGCAATTACAGCGCGCACGTGATCTTCGACTACGTGCACTTCCCCAAAGAAACGCATCGCGGACACAGACGCGTCGCCTACTCGGCCGCGGGCACGGACGGCGTCGTCAGCATGGCCGTGCAGATGAAGGCGCGCAGCCATCCCGGCTGGATCATTCACTGTCAGCAGTACAGGGTCGAGGACTTTCGCGTGATCTACTCGATCGACGTGCCGTACGAGCCGCGGGACATGGCCATCGCCACGACGGGAAATCACCGGATGCTGCTGACCTACGCCGAGTGCGTCGACCGAGACTGCCGCGGTACCCAGAACGTTTATCACGCGCGAGGAGGTGGCTCCGATTCCAGGGACGTGAAGTTCGACAAGCGCGAGTGCGACAGCGAGCTGAGCCGAGCCGAGGGTCGCATTTACCGCGACGAGGACGAGCCCGACAGGTTTTGCTTGGCGACGGCTTGCTATGACGGGGATCAGATTGACGCGCTTGAGAGCCCGTTCGACGTAACCGTTGACTGCTTGAATTTATCACTTCTCGGCGAAACGCCGAAATAGTTCAGGAACTTTTTTTCAGCATTCAGGGACGTTGCACGTGAAATGAATCTACAGTAAAGTCTTTGTTATACGGAAATAAATATTGTTTTAAATATCATTTCATTGACTGTGGCAAAAATGGCTATACTGACTGGGAACATACTTGAATGGTGGGAGTTCTCTGCCAAATACGCGATAAACATAAATCACTATGATACTGATTATACTTTATAATTAATTAAACAAGAAGTATACATTTTTTTATCAAGAAATACATCTATTTCAAAGAAGAGAATTTTAAGGTAGCATTGGTGCTCGCAAGTGTCTAAGCCGGTCAAAGACGAAAAATGAGGATGTGTCCAAAATTGTAGTCTCCGTTTACTGTGGCCTCCTTTCGTATTCATGCATGTCAAATATAATAATTCTATATGCGCCAGAAAAAAAGGCAAATATTTGTTCAAAATTGTTTGACATTAATATTCAAATTTTATCCATGCTTACTAGTGTGACAGAATTTTAAATCTTAAAAGTATGATTTAGTAACTAGGCGAACATGTTATAATGTAATCTAAAATTGTTCTAACAAAATGTAGCTTGTTATTTTCAATAATAAATCGTCTAATTTTCTATTGACCGAGGAGTCTTCGCAAACTAACAAGAATTACAAAATTATTTTTCGAATTAAATATGATGCACGAATAGAACAGATAACATGTCTGCTTGTTTCATAGAGGACAAAAGAACTGGATTTTTCATGCGAGCGTGACAAATATAACAATTTTCGTCTGTGTAAACCCGCGTGGAATACCAAAAGTAACACATTTTGAAAGACAGCTCGGACAAAAAATATATCAAAACTGAGAATATCGCTTACGCAGAGTGAAACTTTGAATGATGCTTACACGCGGGCCAAACCCGGCGTAATTAATAGGCAAATTTCGGCACTGTGCCTGCGAGCCATCCTTTGAAAAAGTGTGAAATTTCGTTCACACGCGCGCGAGCGAAAGAGATTTCGTAACAAAGCCCCGTGTCAAAACAAGTTTTGCGTTTATATTTTTTAGCTCCGCGGCTGGTCCATCAGTCCGAAGTTGACGCGTGTCTAGTGAAGAAGCTCGAATCTTAGAGTACGTAATTCATATTCATCTTTTTCTGTAAATGTAATTTAATTTTTCAACATCGTACGAATGCGTTTAATTTGTACTCTAATTGTGCATTAAAAGTGCAGTGCCGATGAATGTTTTCAAGTGAAATCGTCTCAAGATCGGTGCGTAGAGTTGCAAAAGCGAGTCAATCACTCAAATTTTTGTTCAACAGGCGTGAGAGAATGACGGGGCCCCAACTAACGGCGGCGTTGCTGGCGCTGTTCGTCGTCGCGACCAATGCTCAATACCGGCCGAGAAACATCACGGCCACTCGAACGATCCCGCACAGCTTCCCGGGCCTGACCCTGGGCGTGTCCAGTATCTCCATGAAGAACGGCCAGTTGGCCTACATCGTCTGCGACCTGACCGACCACGACGCCAAGTGCCGCGTCTACCTGGAGGACTTTCGTAAACGCGACGCGCCCACCCAGCAATCGTGCGAGGTAATACTGGCGGTCGACAAGAGCAAGCCCCAATCCTTCGTGCACAACAAGTTCGTCGTCGCGCCGATCTTCGGCAAGTACGTGCTGGTCTCGTGGCACGAGGAGAACCCCGACGAGTCCCTGTGGCGACTGACCACGGTGCGCATGAGCGACTGCGAGTCGATCGTCACCCGCGACCGCAGGATCGAGCCGCTCTGGGCCGAGGCCGTGGCCGAGGTCGACGATCACGTAGTCGTGCTGGCCGACGCCCGAGAGGGCGTGTGCCGGGAAGTCTTCTGTCAGGTGCACCTGGACTTGCGCGGCCGAGTGATGAAGGAGCCCGAGCCCTGGTTCAACGTCAATCCCTCGGACGTGCAGGAGGTGGACATAGCGCCCATCTTGCCACCCTACGGTGCCTATGGCATACTGCTGATGGAGAAGATCTTCGATCCCGTCACCGCCACGCAGTTCGGCCGATTTTCCAAACTCATGGGACAGCGTAAGCGCAAAATTTCATTTGAAATCGTTCATGAAAACGCTTAATTTATTATAAATACTAATCGTCACGACCCACGGGGCATATTGCAGAGACCCCGGTCAAGCTTAAAGAGTACCACGACGGCAAGACCAAGACTCCCGAGTTGGCTTTCTCGAACGCCAACGGCTTCCTGAGCTTCTGCAGCGGCTGGAATCGCGAGTTCAAGTGCATCCAGAACGACCTGTACAGTCGCCAGCTGTTCCCCGACGTCGTGGTCGAGACCGAGCACGAGGTAACGGATTACGGCGTGCACAGTCTGCCCAACGGCGGCTTCCTGCTGCTGCTCAGCCGCTGCCCCGAGAATCCGCTCTGCGCCTCGGACACGAACGAGTACGAGCTGCGCGAGTTCAGCGTCGTCGGCCACCAGTACGGCGAGACGCGCCTGCCCAAGGCCAACTGCAACGAGTACCTGTACACGCCCAAGAGCGTCTTCTTCGAGAACGAGGAGAGGGACTACTGCGCGATGACGCTGTGCGAGCCGCGCATCGACAATGTCCCGGGCGCCGCAACCTTCGCCGTCTCCGTGACCTGCGTCGACAGCTTGCGAGTCACCTTCTGATCGTCTTGGGCGATATTTTCGCCCCGGTAGAATTTTCGACCGAGTGATTCGAGCGAGGGCTAGCTTTACTTTTTTTATAGCACTGCGTGGCATGAGTTCATATTTATGGCACGCTTTTCTGTGGCATAAGTCGCACATTCTGGCACCGCTGCGTTCGCATTGCACTCGAATACGTTCGTGTTACCAGAAAGTGCGACTCATGACTCGGAAAAGGGGGCATAAATGTGCAAAATGTGCGTAATATTATGGAAAATTAATGAACAATTTTTCAAAGATTTAATTCAAAATACTATAAGATCACCAGTAACTGATTTTTTTTCATTAAAAAAACCATAAATCATGTCACATTGACAGTTTTTCATCGTATCATCATCATGATAGATTATGTACACATCCCATCCCCCATGACGTGTATGGTACTTTTGTTGAACGCATCTACCGCGTAAAATAAAGGTTTCCTGTACTTTTTTTCAAGTGGTTAAAAACAAACATAAAATTGCTAATTAATGCTAATACATAAAATTGATCCTATTAATAAGATTTTAGAAATAACTTTCCTGGTAGAAAAAATCAATACTAAAAATGAGTTCATGTAATGGTGAGAGAATAAAAGTTTGAAATTTTCTAAAATAAATTACAATATCATTAAATAATCTTTTGTTACTTTTTTGGGACAATTCTATAATATGTTTACAAAATTCAATACATTGCAACAGATCTAACTAAATAACATCGTAATTAATTCAGAGACAATTTTACAATTTTCTAATTTTTAATATTTACATCATTCGTCGCGGTTCAATGAAAGATATTTTGCACTATGAATGTGTAACATATGCTAAGTACATATTCCGTCCCCATCCCCTGCACTTTCGACCGATGCTAATGACCTTTCTACGAAAAAATACATTTGTACGAGTTCGGAATATTCCGTTTCGTTTATGAATGCCGAAAAAAGTGTGAAACCAGGTTACAATTTACATTCCGTTTTATTCTTGCCGATTAAAAAATATTTTAATTTACAGTATCAAAATGATCGTGTCGTTCTCAATGTATGATACTTTACAAATACCTTAGGTCAAACTGCGCTTTACAATGATAGGCTCGCTCTTCCTATCGATTTTAACGACGATTATGCGAAAAATAACATTTGTACGAGTTTGGAATATTTCGTTTTGAACGTAGATGCCGCAAATGGTTTGAGACCAGGTTTCCTTTTACATTCCGTTTCATTCTTTCCGATTTCAGAATATTTTAATTTACAGTATCAAATTATCGGGTCGTACACAATGTAAGATACGTTACACATCCCTTGGGTCAAACTACGCACGACAATGATAGGCTCGCTCTTTCTATCGATTTTAACGACGATTGTACAAAAAGTAACATTTGTACGAGTTTGGAATATTTCGTTTTGAACGTAGATGCCGCAGATAGTTTAAGTCCAGGTTTTCTTTTACTTTCCGTTTCATCCTTTCCGATTTTACAATTTATTCATTTACAGTATCAAATTATCGAGTCGTACACAATGTAAGATACGTTACACATCCCTGGGGTCAAACTACGCAGGACAATGATAGGCTCGCTCTTCCTATCGATTTTAACAACGATTGTACGAAAAGTAACATTTGTACGTGTTTGGAATATTTCGTTTTGAACGTAGATGCCGCAGATAGTTTAAGTCCAGGTTTTCTTTTACTTTCCGTTTCATCCTTTCCGATTTTACAATTTATTCATTTACAGTATCAAATTATCGAGTCGTACACAATGTAAGATACGTTACACATCCCTAGGGTCAAACTACGCACGACAATGATAGGCTCGCTCTTTCTATCGATTTTAACGACGATTGTACGAAAAGTAACATTTGTACGAGTTCGGAATATTTCGTTTTGAACGTAGATGCCGCAGATAGTTAAGGCCACGTTTCCTTTTACGCAATACTTATCTTGTGTGGAGATAACAGGGAGTAGAGCGAGAAATGAAAGTTTTCAAAAATTTTGTTATGATTTTTATTATATATTCTTCTAAAAAACAACAAAAATGTCCTTGATTCGGCAAAATAAAGGTACAAACGTAGTTTAAAAAAAAATAATACCTTGAATAATTTTGGTTTCAATTTTTCATTTTTACTTTGAAAGAGAACACGCTCAATCATTTCGAATGGATTGATAGTATAGCATGATACCTTAGTCAAATTTTTCGAATTCATTTTTTGATTTCGAATAATGTAACAGTTTTTTACATAATCTACGGCTGTTGATAAAAATAAAAAAAAACGCTGCTAATTTATTGGCAAAGAGCTTACTCATAAAAAATAATATTAACAAAAGGCATCGGTTATTCGCGTGAAAATTCGTATTTTCAAATTTTGATTCACTGTCTAGTGTCCTAAGTACCAATAGATCACGACCATCAGGACCACATTTCTATGTTAGCCAAAAGGCCGAGAAAACAAAAATTCATATAGACATTTGTTGGTAATTCAATGTAATTTCCAAATATATAAACCAAATTGTCCTACGAGGTCTGGTTCAAAATTTCGTTTTCGAGCCCATCACAGAGCTTCCTCATAGAGGAAGCAAAAAAAACAACTTTTCAATTCGAGTCGTTAATTTTAAAAATATTCGGTGAATTTCTATTTTTTTGGTTTTAAGTAAAAAGTAAGGTACCTTACTTTCGCATTTGAGCAAAACTAATCGTTTAGCTGCGTGATGTAATATACGCATGTTTCTTGTTTTCTCATCTCCGCCGATTCTGCTGTCTAAGTCGTCCCGCAACTGCGACACGAGTAACAGCTCAAGACGAGATGAAGCGTGCCGTTGTCGTATTGTTTTTCAATTTTTTGCTCCTGCATTACGGATTTTTCAGAGAAACTTTGGCTGATCAAGAATACACAGAGAATGGGAAGCGAGTTAAAATTTACACGTTCGATAGTTTCTTCAATATAGAAGACGAAAATTGGGTGGGA